AATATTTAATAAAATAAGAATAAAGATAAACAATTTGCAATGAACTGTCATTACTAATTTTTAAAGATTTTTTCCTAAGTTGGATTAAAAATAAAGTGGTCTCCTACACAGTACTATATTTTTCCTAAATAGGAACTTAAACCTCTAACTTAACATGAACAAAATGCCAATAAACAACATAATGGTGAGCTCAGAAGTTATTATAAAGGAACCTAAATGTTGATGAAAGCCAAACATAAGCCTCAAACAAAAGAACTTATTGAGACAATGGAAATGCAAATCATCCAAAAAGGTTGTACTTTATTAGTTTGCTTGTTTATTTGCAGATAAAAATTCAAAGAAACATGAAGATTATGAATAAATAATAATAATAATAATCAAGTTAGAAACAACCCATTGTCCCCAACTAGACTTCACAATTAAAAGAAAGTTTATATATCACGCATAAGATTCCCTCAATCCAATTAACCAAGGAGTTGTGAAATAGACAATGAGGAGAATATACAATGTAGAAAATCCAATGGTTAATTGGTTATATGTAAATACTCATTTTATCTAAATAAATAAAAGCATAAACATGAGAAGAACCAGGCAAAAAGAGCTTACATTTCGGCCCTTCCACATTTGATAAAGCCTCTTCTTGGGAGGGTCTATGGAAGGAGGCAATTCCATGGTTTTGACTCCGTCCATCATCAAACTCAAGCCGCCAATTATATCAAACAATGCATTCTCATCTCATATACACATTGGGGAATCTGAGATGATGGTCGATGAGCCGGTGAAATTCAAGGAAATGTGATAACAAAGAGAGAAAGAAGGGACGTGGAAAAAGAAGGAACAGATGAAGAAGAAAATGTATCTTTCCTTCTCGTTTCTCTCTCTTTCCAGCTTTCCCTTTCCATCCTATCAAAATTATTCAATTCAACAATGTCACTTTTGTTTCTCATAGTTCTATTTACGCCTCATATTGCCGTACAAAATATAATATATTGATCACTTTTTTGAATTTATATTGATCAATTAATATGAATATCGGATTTTCTTGCAAAAAATATGGTATTGGATTTGGGATAGAGGATCTGATCAGTTTCTCTATCTCAAAGAGTTAGGTGTTTTGGAAAATGGTGAAGGCCAAACATAGCCGGGTTGGCTATTTTTAAGGTTGTTATCAATCAACGAAAACGCTTATCAATATTGTTTGGTATATAGTTTTTTGGTCCCTATTATTTTTAGACAGAATCGTTGAAATAGAAACGCTATAAATAGTAATGTTTTGAGCTTAGTATTTTGAAATAGAATAGTACAAAATAATCGATGCATCTAAAAGCTAAATTATAAAACAACTATTTGTAACCCGTCAACACAATCTGCTGATAAAATCCGGCTATCAACAATGCAGTAACATAACCCGCTAACTGATAATTGATGATTGCCAAACACGCCCTAAAACAAGCGGATCAGGTGATGAAGTAAAGTAATAGAAAACAATAGTGGTCTGAAGTTCTGAACGAACTCCGAATCAAACACCAAAATGGTTTAATGGCATTGCGGCACATTAATGGAGTTTTTCGGTATTCTATTCGGAGACTCGATAAGCTCGAGAAACATGTTCGAATGTAGAAGTTTAGACAATGCTCATTTATAGATTCGTGTTCGAATTGTTCGATAAATACTTGAATCTTTAATAATAATTAATACATTTATAAAATGGCACTCAAGATGTTTAAATTTTAAGATATATATGTAAATTACCCCTATAATTTATAAGTGATCGATAGGATCGAGTCCGAATCAAACCAAACATTAGTATGCTCAAAGTTTCGAACTCGGCTTGAATAACTATTCGAACTCAAAATTTAGCCCACGTTCGAGTTCAAATCTTGTTAAGCCTGACTCGTTAAATTAGAGAAATCAAGCTCGAACTTGAGTAGTTAAAAAAGCTTGGTTCAATAAGAGGCTAAGCTGATCTTTATGTGTGTGCTAACAATTTTTTTTACTGTTTAGCCCACCCCACTTCTCATTCATAGATCCGCCCTTAAATTTATTTGAGTTATTAAATTTATTTATTGGATAACATCTGACATTATCAACTCGTTTGATGACTTCTGTTTTCTGCCTATCAATCATCAGTTTCATCAAAATATTTAACTTCTGAAATGTGTAATAATCAAAATAAGTAAAGTTGGAGTTACTTTTCTGACTGAAGTGACTATAGAGTATCATTTTAGCTATTTTAAATATTTTTTATTTTTTATTAATAAAATATATTTTAAATGTAACTTTTTATAATTCAGCAGATCTAGCCAATTCAGCCGCTTCAGTGAGAACTTAATCTATTTCAGTAGAATCAACTGATTCAAGCAATTACAGTGTAACCAAATGGGCTCTATATTATACATGTAGATCTTTTGAGCATTTATGATTTATTAAAGATAATAAAACTGAATAAAATGGACACGTAAATTAGTATTGTGTTGCTTGGAATAATGCTGCAAATGTACACAAAGTAACCAAATAATAAATAAATTTTCAAAAAATCCAATACAACATAATAAAAAAGTATGTATAAATCACTACAACATTTCAACATCTGATGTATCATCCAAAAGTGTTACAATAGCACTGAAAAGTGTTACATTAGACAAAATGTAACACTTTTTCACCATTACATTTGCTCATGTTGCATTTGACTTATTGTAACACTTTATAGTCTCTAATGTAACATTTATACTTCTAGAAAGTGTTACATTAGGTCTAAAAAGTGTTACATTAGAGAAAAAATGTAACACTTGTATATGTATGTTACATCTTCAATATTACATAGGTCTTAAATTGTAGTAGTGAATAAATCTTAAAGTCAACACTAAAAAAACTTGAAATCCAGTAGAAGTAAATTGAAAAATTCTAAAGCTACCCCATTTTGTACATCCTCCCTATTTTTGTGGTTCACAAAGGCAATAAGTTAAAGTGGAGCAATTATTTTGTGGGGTTGGGATTTTGTGAGTCACTCAATGAGTGAGGTACAAATGAGGCACCCCAAAATGGGGTACCTCTAGCATTTCTCAAGTAAATTACGTTTTTGATAATGTACAAATATACAAATCTACCCTCTTGTCGAAGAGACTTCCGCTCAAGAGGGATGTAGACCACAAGATCGTGTTAGTCCCCGGGTCTACAGTCCCCGGGTCTACACCACCTGCGGCCGTGCCATAAAGGATGGCACCGCCCAAATTGGAAGAGATGAAGAGACAGTTGAAGACTTGCTGGATGCGGGCTACATTCAACCATCGAAGGCACCCTATGACGCACCCGTGCTGTTTCAAAAGAAGCATGATAGATCGCTTCAAATGTGCATCCATTTTAGGGCGCTCAACAAGATTACGGTCCTTATGAGTAAACTACGGAGTAAAATATAAAATGTGTATGTACGGGGGCAATTTGTAGATATTGGATAGGGCTAGTTGATGATGTATGCTAGTTAATCTCTAATAAAGGTAGTAATATTAACAATGATGATGATATTGTAAAAAGTATGAATGATCAAGAGGCTGAGTTTGATATAATCGTTTCAAATTTTAGAAAAGAATATCCAATTCTAGGACTCGTTAATTGGTACTCGTATTATTTTTCTTCAAACTTCAGTGCAGTTTTATGTGCCCTAAATGCACTATGATTTTAATAACATTGAAATGTTATGTTTTTTTCATGCTAATTTAGTTACATAATTTGACTCTTATCTTTTTCGATACATGATTTTGATTTTAATATATTTGATTCACGGTTCATAAAAAAAATCTTATTTCCAAATGCTACGCTAAAAAGTAATAATATAATATTTTCATTACAAGAGAAATATTGTAAAGCCAAACAACTACCTCTAATGAACACGTAGAGCCCGTTTGGTAGCACAAAAATCGGCTGCCTTGACTGATTCTGTTGAAATTTATGAAGTTCTGAAGTGGCTGCATTGGCTAATTTTGCTGATTTAAGAAAAAATATTATAATATATTTGATTATTAAAATAAAGAAAAAATATACGGAGTATGTAAAAATAGCTAAAATGGTCATCTACAGTAATTTCAACCAATACAGATAGAAAAGTAACTCTGACTTTACTTTTTCTTCTTATTACACAATTCAGCGCACGAAAGCAAAAGTTACGTGTTTGATGAAAAAGTTGGCTGATAAGCCGAAAAATAGTGCCACCAAACGGCCTCGTAATTTAACTATAAGCATACGTCATTAGTGTTAATAACAGAGCATTTGGGTTCACTTCTAATTTTATAAGTGGTTTATAAGTGACTCTAGAGATAGTGCTAACTAATAAAAGTGGATCGTGTTTTAGAAATTGCTAAAATAAAATTGGAATGTTTAGTAAATATTGTAACATTTCAGATTTAATTTAAACGGATTAATAGTATTACTCATACCAACAGAGGTGCATCTCCTTTTAAGAGAGTTCATGAACTCCAAAATTAAGCGTACTTGCACGGGAGCAGTCTTGGGATGGGTGACCCCCTGGGAAGTTTCTCAGGGCTCGCATGAGATGGGTGAGCACAAAGTGCGCTGTAAAGGCTCGTGGTGATTTGTGGGGACAGTACTAGAGGTCCGAGTAACTACCTCGGACCCTGCGGGGCCGGGGTTTATGAAATAATTACCTATTTCTGACAAAAACATCTGTTTTAAAAACATGACATCTTATTATAATAATTATAATACTAACTTCGTTTATAGTAATTTATGTTCAATTTTAGATTGAACATGACATTATATGTATAGTAATTTTAATTATAGTAATTTTTAAACGCACGTTTTAAAAAAAGAACTCTTTGCAACGGTGTCTAACAAGCTCGATGTGTTACTATGCTCAAAAATGCATAGGGCTTCTGCAAGTATCGGGGACAAAGCCTCACATCGTGCCGTCCGGTCGGTGTTGGGGGCCCTCAGGGATGGGGTGTGTTAGTGTGACTACATATATTGTTTCTCCACAGCCGCACAATCGACGGTCGGAGGGTTGGTTAGGTCTTCGGTGCCTTCCAGCAATAATGCGACGAAGGGTTGTATAGAATATAGATTAACTAACTCTCTATCCCCTGCCAGGAGAGCTGAAGAAAATGCAGAGGATTTCTTCAAAGAGACACCTCTTTGTATCCATTTCAAAACTTCCCTTAATCCCATTCAACAAATCAACCAATGCTCAGCGTCTCTGCACCACCTACCTATCAAAGCTCAATCAGCCAATTCAAACGCATCAGCCCAGTTTTAGTAACGAGTCTCAGAGTATATCCAGTAAGCCAGTGAAGACTTTTGACCTCATCCGCCTACGATCTGTGCCAGATGAGCATGGAATGGATCATAACAAGGATGAGTTCACTGGTGATGTCGAGAAGATATACAGAATTTTGAAAAGATTCCACTCTAGGGTTCCGAAGTTGGAACGCGCTCTGCAAGAGTCTGGCGTTATTGTACGGGCAGGATTGACAGAACGTGTGCTGAACCGATGTGGCGATGCTGGGAACTTGGGATATGGATTCTTCGTTTGGGTTTCGAAGCAACCTGGATATACCCATACCTATGATGTATACAAAGCCATGATCAAGATTCTGGGGAAAATGAGGCAGTTTGGAGCTGTTTGGGCACTCATTGAAGAGATGAGAAGAGAAAACCCTCAATTGTTATCCCCCGAGGTGTTTGTGATCTTGATGAGGAGATTTGCCTCTGCCAGAATGGTTAAGAAAGCTGTTGATGTTTTAGATGAGATGGCCAAATATGGGGTTGAAGCAGATGAGTATGTCTTTGGGTGTTTGTTAGATGCTCTGTGCAAGAACGGAAGCGTGAAAGATGCATCCAAACTGTTTGATGAAATGAGTTTCAAGTTTAAGCCCACCATAAAGCACTTCACATCATTGCTGTATGGTTGGTGCAAAGAAGGGAAGCTTATAGAGGCAAAAGTAGTTTTGGTGAAGATGAGAGAAGCCGGATTCGAACCAGACATTGTGGTCTACAATAATTTGCTCACAGGGTACACTGTGGCGGGAAAGATGTCACATGCATTTGACCTTCTGCAAGAAATGAGGCGCAAAGGGTGCCATCCAAATGCAGCCTCCTACACAGTTGTGATTCAATCGCTCTGTTCTCAAAGAAAGATGGAGGAGGCTGCAAGAGTTTTCTCTGAAATGGAGAGCCATGGGTCGGAGTGTGATGTGGTAACGTACAACGCTTTGATAAGTGGGTTTTGCAAGTCAGATGGGATCAACAAAGCTTACGAGCTTCTCGATAGGATGGCAGGTAAGGGATGTACTCCCAACCAGACGACGTATCTCCATATCATGTTGGCTCACGAGAAGAAGGAAGAGTTGGACGAGTGTCTGGAACTCATAAAGAAAATGGAAAAAACACCGCTCACTCCGGACCTCCCCATCTACAACACTGTCATCCGTTTGGCATTAAAGTTGGGCGAAACGGACGAAGCCGCTCGTTTATGGAATGAGTCGGAAGCCAATGGGTTGAGTCCCGGGGTGGACACTTTTGTCATTATGATTAACGGTCTAATAGAGCAGAGGCGTGTGGTCGAAGCGTGCGATTACTTTAAAGAAATGGTGGGGAGGGGTCTTTTTTCATTTCCACACTATGGCACTCTAAAGGACTTGTTGAACTCTGTATTAAGAGAAGAGAAGCTTGAGATGGGGAAAGATGTGTGGGGCTGCATCGTAGGTAGCGGATGTGAGGTTAACGTGTACGGATGGACGATTTGGATTCATGCGTTGTTTTCAAGAGGGTACGTGAAGGAAGCCTGTGCATATTGTTTGGATATGATGGATGGTGGTTTGATGCCTCAACCAGACACATTTGCGAAGCTAATGAGGGGGTTGAGGAAGATGTACAATAGGCAGATTGCTGGGGAGATAACGGAGAAGGTCAGGAAGATGGCTGAAGAGGCAGGGACGAGTTTCAAGATGTATAAACGACGGGGGGAGAGGGATTTGAAGGAGAAAGTCAAGGAGAAGAAGGATGGAAGAAAAAGGCGGGCAAGGCAGCGGCGATGGGGCAGTGAACATTCTAAGTGCTCTTATCCTTCTAAAGATAGCAGTTGTAACATGCTTCATTCTTCATTTTAAGTAGTGTGTTTGCTTTGGCTTGTGTTTGTGAGAATTGATACATTTGCAGGGTTGTAGAGAAACTGTTTAACTGTAATAGTTGATAATGCTCGAAATTCCAAAATACAAGAGCTTTTTGAGAATTGATACATTTGCAGGATTGTAGAGAATCTGTTTAACTGTAATAGTTGATAATGCTTGAAATTACAAGAGATTTTTTAAATGAAAGTCAGAGTAGGATTTAAAATGCTTTTTGGTGTTGAAGTTAAATGATTATTGAAAGTAGTGGTGGACTCGGGTCAGGTGGCCCACCCGGGAATCGGCCCGGGACCGGTACTGTTCCGGCCCGGCCCAACCGGTGGCCTGGCCAGTGACCGGTCCGGGTAGGCCCGACCCGAGGGGTTTCCGGTCCAGGCTCGGGTCACCCAAAACATGAACCGGCCTGGCCAGTCCGGGCTTTTTTTTTTTACTTTTTTTAAAATCCCTGGGTTGGGCTGGGTATTTTGGGCCATTTGGGGTGGTTTGGGGGTTGGTGGTTGGGGGGATCGGGGGTAATTAGAAAAAGGAAAATAAAAATAAAAATGTTAGAGGCCCGAGGCCCGGCCCGGACCCGGTGGCTACCCGGGCCGGTCCCGGGCCCAACCGGCAGGCCGGTCGGGCCTAGGCCCAGCCCGGACCCGAACTGGCCCGAGTCCACCACTGATTGAAAGTCAAACTTCCCCACTCAAAGTTCATATTTTTAAACTAGATTCTCACCCGTGCGATGCACGGGATATATATTACTCCGTAAATAATAGTTATATCATATACTCCCTCTGTATCAAATTAATTGACTCGTTTCTTTTTCACGCAGTTTAAGACAATTACTGTAGACTTTATTAAAAGTAAGAGGTTTTTGGTACTGTAGCGACACTGTAGCGGTACTGTAGCAGTACTGTAGCTGCTTTTGAGTGGGATTCTTTCCAAAAAGGGAAATGGGTCAATTAAATTGATACACCAAAAAAGGAAAGTGGGTCAATTAATTTGATACGGAGGGAGTAATTTGTTAATAACTTTATTAGTTAATTTGTAAATGAATGCAATATATACTTCCATGTGTATATAGAGAAAAAATCAGGTGAGCAGTGAGTCTTAGGCTGAAAACTGCGAAGTTTAACTAATAGAGACAATAAGGTAACTTATAAAACAGAAATCATAACTTATGAATCCAACAACTCTAACTCAAAAGTATAATTTTATAGTGATTAAATTAAGAAATCACTTTAATGGCATTAAAATATATATTTATATACTCCGTCCATCCCTGTATTATGGTCCAAATTTCGTTTATCTGTCCCAAAATAATCTTCTATTTCCCCCTTTGACAAAGAATTTGTGTCTCACAACATTTCTTACGCATTCTTACACATTTGTCTCTCTTTAGCACAACTATCCACCATACAATATCACTACCTTAATCGATGTGCCAAATGTACTTTGGAAGATAATTTAGGCACAGAGTCCGTATAGGTATAATTTATAAATATTATATATTATAATGATTGGAAATGATTTTGCGACCTATTTTTATTTAAACCATAAAATCTTTTTGATGATTTTTTCACAATTAAAATATACTACCTCCTCCGTCTTTGTAAGATTATCTCATGCCAAATTTGACAAAATTTGTGTGACTATAAACTATTACTCCCTATGTCCCGCGAAGATTGTCTCAGACACTATTCACTTGGTCAACGCAAATCACTCTTAATCTCTTACTTTATGTATCAAATTTTTATCAATTTTTTTTTTTGCGATTTTGTAAAGTTTTTAATCTATGTAACTCTTTTTTCTAAAAATAAATTGAAGGGATCTGTTTGCTTTATCGTTGATTAAACATCGTAAACCAAACTGTCCCAAACATAGTGGGACAGAGGTAGTATTACTTTATCAATTTAAAATCAAACCACATAAACTCACTTTTCTTAATAACCATGTCACATTCTCTTATCCCAATGTTAGTGGGGCGGATGCAGGGGCGGAGATAGAGGGGTGGCGAACCGGCCCACGGCCCACCCAAATTTGAAAATTCTTTGTATTTTTAGTGTAAAAATTTATGTGAAAAAAAATTATCTGAAAATTTCTTTGTACCGGCCCAACCCAACCTTCAATCGTAGCTACGCCCCTGCCGCGGATGTAGTACTTAGATTTCTTTGCATGTTATTAAAACAAAATCAATTTTTGAAACATTTTTTTTTGCATTTTTTGATTTGATTCTCACCAATGAGTAGATCAACATTGAACTCAGGTCACACATTGATAAAAGTTTTAAGTGCTATAGAAGATGACAATCACTTCAATTATTTTGTGTCCTTACCACGAACCACGTAGATGACAATCATACAAATGTTAGAAAATGATTACCCGATTAAAAACCATGAAACTCAGGTCCAATTGGATGCCATTGTCTAGTTCCACGGCCTTGGCATGTCTAAGGCTATTTAGCTTTTTTGCGTTTTAAACTCGTACTATTTTTTTGAACAATAAAACGCGTTTAAAACAAAAAATAATGTCGGTCCGTTTAAAAAGGGAAAAAATTCCTACTTCCCGTATAAAACATATTTTTTCCATATTTTAATTTGCAAAAATTAGAAACATGAATTGATCAATTGAATGAGTGCATAAAATGCATAAAAGATCAACAATAGCTTAAAAGCAAAAAGGAAAACATCATCCTCGTGGCCGCGTCTTTTTGTATTGTTACAATGCAATTATTAATAGAGTTAATTATCAAAATAGGACTAAAAGTCATTCATTTTGCACAAATAGGACCAAAAAATAAACTATGTTTCCATAGGACTAATTATGTGTGTCTTGGACAAATATACCCTTATACCTATTGGAATGTTTTAATTCATAATAAAATAATAAAAAATAATAAAAAATCGTAAAATATACCAAAAAATTAATAAAAATATTTTGAATAATAATAATTTTTTTAAAAAAAATATTAAAAAAATTAAAAAATATAAAAAAAAAATCAATTTTTTGTCACCGCCGCCTCTGCCGCCCCAGCACTACCACCTCTAGTCATTTGGGGAAAAAATGCCAAATTTATTATGAATTCCATATTTTTGACATAATTCAGAATGATTTAAGATGGAAGAAAAAAAATGTTGGCATTGTCAAAGAGAAATATGCCATATTTTTGGCATTTTCCAAAAAAATGGAAGTTTGTAGGAAATATGGCATTTTTTTAACGGTCGGAGGTGGTGGTGCAGGGAGGCGGTACCACCACCTCCTGTCACCGGGGTAAAAAAATGCCAAAAAAATTATGAATGACATATTTTTGGCAAAAGTCAAAAGGATTCAAGTTGGCAGAATGAAAATATTGGCATTCTCATAGAGAAATATGCCATTTTTGTGGAATTTAAAAAAAAGTGGCATTTTTTACACCGATCGGAGGTGGTGGTTCAGGGAGGTAGTACAGGCGGTGGGAAAGGTATCCATATTTTTTTTTTACTTTTTTTTATGGAGTTTTACTATTTTTTATTAATTTTTATTAATTTTCAAAAAAAAAATTAATTTTTTTCTTATTTTTTATTTTATAAAAATTTATTAATTTTTTTTTTATTTTTCTACGAATTATTGATTTTTTTTCGAATTTATTATGAATTAAACATTTAATTATGACTTTTAGCTATCTTTTACTAATATTTAAAGGAGGGGTAAGAATGGAAGGAAGAAATGGATATGTTTCCAATAGGACCACTATGGTCCTATTTTGGAATAAAAAACATAGCAAGTCCTATTTTGAGTTTTTGCCATAGTTTTAGTCCTATTTTGAATTTTTGTCATAGTTTTAGTCCTATTTGAAGTAATTTCTATTATTAATAATAAAATTAATTGCATGACGGCTAAAGCTAGCTTAGCTTCCTAAAATTAAATACCTAAACTTTACATACGGCTGGATGTATGATGTTTTCTCAATCAAACATATCAAAAATAAGGTTTTTCTGAACCTGACATATTTTTAGTATACTTTTACAGTTTTACACATAAACAGTAATAAGCGTAGCAGTCGTACAATGTACTTTTCTCATATGTCATCCATTATCTTGATAAAATGATGAGTTTAACTTCAGTATTTGATGATCATATCAAGATAATGATTTTAACTTAGTCTCATCTATGGTTATTATGCCTCATATTTTTGACTTTATTTTGCAAAATTATGCATTGGACTTAATTATTATTTTTATTTTTGTCATCGACTTATGCAATTACGAAATATTCTTTTATGTGGTAATGAAATTTGCTACTTAAATATGTGTATATTTTTATTTCTTTTGACAACATATCTTATTTTGTGAATTATATACTTTAAATGTTTAAAATAATACCCCGTATTTTTTGTCCGAATTTTTGTAACATATACCGCATTATACACGTATATGTAATATACACGTTTTTTAAAAGTCAACATATTTTTCAATGAATTTTTGACCGTTTTTTCATTCGTGTTACTGAATAAAACACGTACGTATTAAACCTCGTTTAATTCCTGTACCGTATTTAACTAACTATGTGTCTGACCAAATAATCTTCTTTCTCGTACAACACATGACCAACTCTTCCCAATCCCCACCATCGGCATGTTGAACTTCGAAGCCTTACAACCCTCACTTTCAAAGCTCAATTGTTGTAGTTAACAACATTAATATATTCCATGTGATGGTGTGTTTCTTAACTGATAATCATTAATTTAATAGTTAACAACATTAATATGTTTCATGTCATGGTTTAAAACAGTGCTGGTCACCAGGCCACTCAACAAATAAGAATAGCATCCCGTCAGCGGTCCAGCACAAGCAAGACCCATACAGTACCCAAGGGCTAAGGAGCAATCTTCCTGGTCAGGCCCAATCTACATCGCTACGCTTTGCGCCGCAACAGTTAGGCGGGATCCGAAATTCAAAACCTTTGTACACGTGGTGGGACAGGCTACGCCACGTTGTCTACTCAGTCGACGACCAGCCTCCAACCGCATCTCTGTCCGTCCTTCGATCACCGGCATCTATTCCGGGAAAAGTATCCCACCACAGTAAAATTCCCCCACCCCACCGAGTTCCGGCGACACCCAGCAGTCCGGTGGGAAAAGAAATGAGGGAAAAACGTATCAAAGTCGGACCAGACTTTAAACGCCCCGCCTATCCCAACCACCCAGGCCACCTGGTCCACAGGCCACAACCACCAGGCGCGACGATGGCCGGCGTTGGGAGGAAGCACAAAATCAATCGGAAAGTACCAACAGTACCTCGATTCAAATCCGTCGGTTTCAGCCCCACCTCCCGGCGAGCTGCAGTCTTTAGGGAAACAGGGCTTACTGAACATCATGATAAATAAATCCCAAAATACCCAGAATATCCTAGGAGAGTTATCCGGACTTCTTTTCAGTGGTGACAACAGGAAGTCAGGAACTCCAAACCAGTAAACTGGGTAATCCATACCTGTGCCTCTATTTAGACTTATTTATATAGTTAAATCATGAATAACAAATTAAACCAATGGATATTAACCTGCACTGTTTTAAATTATGATGACCTGATATATGAATACACCATACATTACAGACTTTTTGATTTTTTATAGTTTACTTGCAACCTCGTAAATGAATGCAGCTCATTATGCATGCAATTTTCTCTCTCCATAAAACGCTTATACTTCGCAATGGTCAATAACTCAATATAGCTGGCATACCCGTGAAAAAGTTCTGCTTTTCCGAAGACCTTTCGCATCAGCCAGAAGAACCCCTTGTATCCCTTGGTTATACATTTTTCCAACACGCACAGGGCCGGCCCTGGACAAGGGCAGGCCGGGCTTGTGCCCCGGGCCCAACATTTACAGGGGCCCATAATTATATATAAATGGATAAATATAGAGAGGACAATTCATATGGAGCCCTTCATGGAGGAATTTTTTTATGAAACTTTTTTAGAGTATTTTTCATCAAGTGTAAATTACATTCACAAAATTTTAGTTTAAAAATCAACCGGGAAGTCAGTTAAATAAAATATTGAAACACACTGCGCTTTGTGTATATAAATAATGTGCACTATCTTTCAATAATTTATTTAACTGACTTTCAGGTTGAATTTTAATCTGAAACTTTGTGAAGATATTATAGATTTCATGAAGAATATATTTTAAAACTTTCATGAAAAAATTCTACCGGGAAGCTAAGGGCCTCAAATGGCCCCGGTCTGACATCATTTCCCGTTAGACAGGCCTAATTTCAAGGTTTCATCTTTGGACTTTAATTCGTTTTGCTCTGCAATCAACACTCTCCTAATTTTCTCAAAAATATCTTCCAAATTTGAAATTTCAATTTCACATGTAATTCTCTGGTTTTATTTTTTATTTTTTAATATAATTTTTATTCATTTAGTTTATATATTAAGACTTTGATAAAAGACTTGCATTACTTTGTATGTTGAAATTTGCGTATATAAAGTTAAGCTTTTGCAATATATTTATTTAACCTTTTAAGGGCTTTCTTTTTTCAATCGCTCCGGGCCCATAAAATATCAGGACCGGCCCTGAACACGCAACAGATTTATAAATTGGTCTGAGCCCTGTTGGAGCACAATTTTACAGCCTGGCTAAGCAACCCGACCCGGCCCATTGCTAACACAAAACTTTGGGCGGGAAAATAGCCACATTCTCCACCTCTTTTTATATAGAGGTAGATGTTGAAAACAAGCAGAATCACCTATCCGAAAACACTTGTAGCCTTTTTAAGCAAAAGGCAAATAAACACAAAAAAGGTGAACTGTTCTTTAAACACTTCTTTAATATCATTTCGACCTGCCCCCCCCCCCCCCCCGCCCCCCCCAAGGCTGCTCTTAAACTTAAGAGTAATATATTTATGTGTGAAAAAGTTAATATCCGAAATACATATCATGGGTTAATGGTGGATCACATATCTACACAAGTTGAGAGAGCACAGCACTTCAACTTGTTGGTTCTGGTTAAAAAACTAATACAACAGAATTCAGTATGCAGTTTCTATATTGGTCTTACAAAGACTAGGAGGCAAAAGAGTACACGTTAGGTCCATGCTATATAGGAGTTAACAAGATTTTGTTGAGTACAACTGAACAGAGTACAAGTGTCAAGATAAATTCAATATAGAGATCCCTTGAATCTACAAGCTAACAACCCCAAACAAGTTTACGATTTTATTTAGGGGCATTGCTGGATCTGTATCCTCTACAGCCTGCAAAATAGAATCAATAAAAGCAAATCAAAGTGAACTCTGTAAGCAACCCGCTAGGAACATAAGAGTTCGAAACTCAATGGAGTGAGTTTTAGTCTTGATTACTCTAGGGCCCTCCACTCCTCCAGCCCCCTTCTCCAGAGGCCCAGACCCCCGGAGTAAAAAAAAAGTGAACTCTGTAAGCACATTATCTATATTTGTTTCAGCACAAATAATTACATGAGAAAGATTCAAACAGCTGAGAGTCCAGAGACCCATCACTATTCAACTCCAAGCTAAGAGCCTGTTTGGCAAGGCTAAAATTGAATGAGGTCATGGTTGGAAGCTACCGAAACTGCTGAAGTTATGGTTGAAAACTTGAATAAAATGTGCTCAACTATGAAAAAATTATACTACCTCCATCCCAAAAAGAGTTGCAAATTTGACTTTTATTAGTCAAACAGTCTCGTTTTGTTCACTTAATTATGATGTCAATTTATTATTATTTTCTAATTTGGACTTTACAACTTTGTAGAGATTTTAATATAGTTTTTGAATATGTAAATTTTAACGATTAAAAAATGAATTAATTATCCATAGGGAGAGTTGACTTTTATTATTGGTTGACCAAAAAATGTCGACTTTGCAAAACAAATTGGGACGGAGGGAGTACTACCCATTTAAAATATATTTTATTTTAATAAAGAAAAAATTTATGAAAACAACTAAAATGGTCATCTTTCAACATTTTCATCCAATTCAGCCAAAAAGTGATCTCAACCTCACTTTTTCATTATTGAATAATTATAAGCGTAGAATAAAAGTGAGTGATTGCTGGCAAATCTGGTTGATAAAGCGTATAGCCCCAAAAACAAAGGTACCAAACGGACACTAATACTTTTGGGGGTAAAGACATTCACTTGTTAAAACAATTTTTTTTGAAATAAAAAACAAAGGGTTAATAACCTAAATAGGAGTAAAAGGTTGTCAATAATCACAAATAGGACAACATTGTTTTTTAATTCACTAGTAGGACTAATTATGTGTGTTTGGACAAATATATCCTTGTAGCTATTGAAATGTTTTAATTCATAATAAAATCATAAAAAATAAGAAAAAATCGTAAAAAACAATAAAAAAAATAATAAAATATTTATCAAATGTAAATAAAAAAATATTTTTAAAAAATTAAAAAAAAACATATAAAAAAAATCGCTGCCGCCATTGCCAGTCTGCCACCCCCAGACCACCACCTCCGGTCACCGGAAAAAAAATGCCACATGCATTAGTAATGCCATATTAATGGCAATTTCAATGAAAATTTGGCATTATCAAAGAATAATATGCCATTTTTTTGGCATTTTCAGAAAAATGGCATTTTTTACACCGGTCAGAGGTGGTGGTGCAACAAGGCAGTAGAGGCGGTGGGAAAGGCATCCATATTTTTTTTGTTTTTCAGATGGGTTTTTACTATTTTTATTATTATTTTTTTAAATTATAAATATTTTTATTAATTTTTATTATTTTTCTATGATTTTTATTAGTTTTTTATGATTTTTATTATTTTTTACGATTTTATTATAAATTAAAACATTTCATTATGACTCTTGACTACCTTTTACTCCTATTTAAAGGAGGGGTAAGAATGGAATGAAAAAATACGTGTGTTTTAAAATAGGAGTAATATGGTCCTATTTGGGAATAAAAACATAAGAAGTCGTATTTTTTATTTTTATCCTAGTTTTACTCCTATTTGGGATAATTTAAGCGCATTATCATAGTGATCAGTTCTAGTTCAGAACTGAAAAGTGATAGGTCTCACGGGAGTGCTTGTCACAGCAATGAGGCAGAGTGAGTAGGGGAAAGATGTTACTAACCCAGATGATGATATTATCTGAAGCTCCATAGACTGCTAGTAAAAAAATCCTCTGCAGTTTGGTGACCCACACAAACACCTCTTCCTCCTGCGATCTGCTGCTCTATTTGATGGGATCACTCCATAATCAAAAGTCAGCTCCTGCATAGGAGGAATGTGGCTGATGGCAAAGAAGGCAATATGGTAATATGCCTCATTATTATTCTCACGCACAACAGGCTGCCACATCACATTTGGTGAACAACTATGGTTCATAAAGCGAGCTACATTTCCAAAACTTCTTGCACTTATAACTAGGGCGAATGGGATTTCCGGAGAGTTACTCTGACCAACTTGCACAACTTCCAATGGTGGATAGTTACGAGTGGCATCAAACATATAGCTATCCCCACTTTCCCTCCCATACTCACCTGCCCTTGATGCATCAATGACTTCACCCGCAAACTCACATATAAAACCACCTGAGCGAATAGGGTCCCACGACCTAAGTCCCCAACCTCGATTCCTTGTTTTGAAAACCTCCAAATGGGCCTTAAGGCCTGCTTGAGATATTCGGTTTCGGCAGTTCGGAGGGCAGGAACAGGACGGACCACACTCATGTATAAAGCATTTGTAGGTCAAGAGAACCCCGAGGGCACTATAGTGCAGAAAGCCTCCGTTTTTCTGGAGACAAGGGCAGTTGAAGTTACCAGGACGGCATCCACCTGTGCAATGACAGCTCAAAGAATCATTGAGCATTAAAAAGGGTTTTGGGTCCTTAAGAGTTCGGATATACGTGAAATGAGCAGGTTCCTTGTCGTTATCAACCTCGTTGACCAGACAAACAGGTTGACTCTCCACACCAGATGTTAGGTCTGATAAGATGATACCAGGCCGTAAAGCAAGACCGTCCTTCCATTGCTGAATTTGTTTCCACATGGTATAAGCCTCAGGCTGTCCAGGCAACCTGACCAATTTGTATTTGAAAATGTTGAGCCCGGACTTGTTATTCTCTGCCCATGACTCCTCAATTCTGTACAAACCATCATACAGGTAGACCTTCCCAGCTACTGTCATATAATCTTTTAAACCCCTAATAACTCTGACTTCATTGGCACGATGCAGGCTCTTCTCCAGAGCAAGATTTCCCCTTTCAAGTTTCTGATCAAACATTTGCCCATCCTTTCTTTGGACCCCACCCTGGCCAGTGTAAATCAGCATATCTGCATCACTTCCCTCATCTTCATATCCTCCTGAAGAGACGATGCAGAGAGCGAGAGGTTCTTCATACAGAGATGATTTTACACTCATGAAATCTATACCCCCCATACTTTGGGCATGCACCCCAACCAAACATAGCTCCATTCTAAAAAAGAAGATGTCTCCTACTTCAACCCCGGGTACATTCCCTATCCTCTTTGTAAGATTTGTACGAATCCCCTTTGTCATCATCATTGCTCCAGATTTCAAATCTGGGCGTTTGGAAGCTCCGGCAGTTGGATCCCTCTTCTCCTCGGATTGTGTCATCATTCTTCTTAACAAATTATAAGCCAATAATAAGCGCCTGACAGTTTCCTTGTCACCATCAGCCTTCTTATATGTATCCAAATCAGTGAGTTTGAATGATTCAATAAGATTATTAAGCATGGG